GCAGAAATCCAGTCTGACCAGTCTAAAAGAAAGACCTCATGCGCGAAAAAGGTAGTTTACTTGGGTAGTTTATCCTCGGTTGGTGATGCTCAGCAAGGCGCAGACCGAGAAGATTGCCGCCGACCAGAAGGCCCGTGAAAACGAGGAGCGCCGTCCGGCTCTCGGGCAGGCTCGTGGGGTCCATTTGAAGCATGCCCCAGGCGAAAAGCTGATGTTTTTTTTTCCTCTGGCGTCCTCAAAAACATGGTCATGGCTCCAACGGTAGAATTTGTGTTAGTTTTTGGCATTCTTTTTGTTCAGCTTTTGGCAGTGTTTCCCTTGCAATGCCCGCGAGGTGCCCGACGCAGGCCAAAGCGTTTGAGAACATGCTCCGACTTTTCAAGTGCGGCGTTGATGCTGTCGACCACTTCCCAGAAAATAAAAGAGCCTAACAGAAGCTGGTTGAGAGGACTTCCAAGGTGCGGAACTCCTCTTGTTGGGAAGCGATCAAAATACACAAGCATTGACCGCATAGAAGCAATGTATTGCTTACTTGCCCAAAGGATTCAGAAGCCATGCCGGAAACTTGAGTTTTCAAGAGTTTGAGTCGCTTGGAGACGTGACACCCGCGACAAAGCAAGACAGCCCCTCTTGGTTGAAGCAGAGCTGTAGCAGGAACAACCTATTTGGGTCAGCCAGGTTCACTGATTTTGGGCCTTCGCATCAGGTTCGCTAGGCTGACAGGTTTTGGTCCGATGCTCCGAGGCCAGCGGGCAGAGGAGGAAGCCCGCGAGGAGGAAGCACGCCGGGGGCATCAGCGAGTCGAGTCAGTGGTTGGGGGTGGTTGGGGGGTGGACGGGAACAGCAGCAAGGGGACGTTCACGACAGCAGCCACCAGGAGTGACAGCGGCAAGCGTGGAAGCTACGATGGGTCCTCATATGTTGAGTTGGTTCGGGTCACAGACTGCGACGATTCTAGCTCATGAGCCAACTCCTCAAGAAGTTATACGAGGCTCTACAGAAATTTGGTGACCCTTTTCCATCTTGAACTTGGATCACCTGGCGCGCGCGCGCGCGCGCCGGTGCTTTTGAGACCTGTGTGCTCGGAGCAGTGCCTTCACACACATTTGCATGGACGAAGGAAGTGCCGGGGCTCACAAAACATCCGAATCGCAAGATGCACTCCTTATCACCGTGTCTTTATGAAAAGTCACAGGCTTGCCTTTCCCCAATCCTTGTTTGCTCATGCGCACAGAATCTCAATCCGATGGCGTGGAGTTGCTGCGCAAAAAGAGCACTCGCAAACTAGCAATGCCCCTTCATCGTAATATGGGGGTGTTCCCTAGTTTTGGTGGGGATCTATCACTTTCGGAGGGGAACACCTTGATATCAAGGAAACAGGAATTATCATTGAGAAAAGGAGTGAATACGAGAGTCAACACCAGAATCAAAACTAATCGATTCTTGGATTGGGTCTCTACCTTATCATTCGTCTCTTTGGGTTGTGGTCGGGCCGAGAATCGGCCCGGGTCATGCGTTGGCATTGCAGCTTGCTGCTCCTGCCGCTGGCTTTGGCCTCGCGGCCGCCGCAGGCGCCGTGGCGCTTGCCTTGCTGAGTTTGTAGGTAAACTAGGGGTACCTTCCATTTCCATTCTTCCCAGGGATCCGAGTCTTTTCGGGAAACCATCAAAAACCCAGGGGAAACAGCCGGTTTTTGAAAAGAACGATGGTTGAAAAGGATGGGGAATCAACCCCTAGTGGGAGGACGAAATCCAATTCCGCACCACTTAAGAAACCCTGGTTTCTGATATGATTCCCCCTGCAAATACCAAGTAACGTTATGGTTTCAACCATGCTTTCAAAGTGGCGCGAAATGGCTTTCGCAACCATCCAAGGTATTGCAACCTGACCTGAATGAGCTATGCGCTTAAGTGACTCTTGATCCCTCGGCTTCATTCTTGAAGTTTGTTGGTGCTCAGAACTGCCAATGACAGTTCCCTGATGATCTTTTCAAAGCCCCAACAGATCTCCCTGCGAGCATAATTGGGCACAGGGCGAAAAAACAAACTGCTCTTGGAAGGTCCTCTATAGAGGTTTGGGGGCTAGATGCGCAGGAAAGGGACCTAAAACAAAATGTGGACCATAGAAAAACGCGGACCATAGAGAAAACGTAGTTGAGGCAAGGGTCCATGCCTAATTCAATATACTCAAGGCCCATGCATGTGATTACCTCATGGGTGGGGTGGTTTAATTGCTCTCCAAGAACGCAGAGCGCCTCACTTTGGGTTTGTCCAGAAAAGTACTGCAACATAATGAGGAAAATATCTTGATAGCTTGACCACCGAGGTGATACGAACTCCATGGTAAAGGATACTTTTTTCCGGGAGACTGAGTGCTTCAAGCGCCGGGAATGACACTTGTAGGGTCCCTGGAGGTTTACTTCGCGGAGCCCTTCGATGATTCCTGGGAGTCGCGCTGGGTGCAGTCAGAAGCACCAGGCCAGAGATCAAAGGAAAACCTTGGCAGCTGTCAAAACTCCTTGTGTGGAAGGCTCTGTTTGTTCAAAGCCAGCCTTTGGACCTGTGTTATTTTTCAATGTTGGTTTGTTTAGGGTCGGGCAGGGTTTAACCTGCTATTTCCAGGTTGGGCAAGTGAGAAGCTCAGGCGTTCAAAGCTGTGCTGAAGACGTAGCGGTGTTCCACTCTCGGTGCGGTTTGAGTGATAGTCCCCTCTGGCCAGCGAGCTAGACAGTGACGGGAACTCGGTGTATGTGCAACATTAGGGCCTGGATAGGCAGCCTGAGTCTATGTCCAACAAGCATCGTCGGTTGAGAGGAGAGCTGAGAAACAATGGGTCCTGGCCCAAAAAGCTTGGAGAGACAAAACCCATGTCAAACCAACCTCAGTTTCAAGCCATGAGCCTCGGCCCCGCTATCCCCGGGCCAGGGCGGAACGGCCCCTTGGCGCGCTTTCAGTGGAGTGCTGGCCAGTGGTTCGTCAACGAGACGGAGCAGAGAGGCGCGCAAAAGTCTGCGATGCTGTCGGGAGGGGCAAACTCGACGGAAGCGGGGCGAACAGGTCATCTTCGATGCCCAACCGGTGATTTAAACTGGAGTGGTGCCGCCTCGAGTCCCCTTTTCAGAGGGCATTTGAATCACGAATGGTCACTTTCTGTTCTGTGGTTGCACCCGCACTGTGCCTGAATTAGATGGGTCCTCATCCAAGGTTTTGTTCATGGCGCATGCTTGCCCATGCTTGGGCCTTGCATCGAGGCCTCTATACGGTGGCCTTGTCACACCATGCAGCCTCGGCGCGGGTGCCGCGCTTCTCCAACCGCGGAAGGGATCTGGTGGTGCAATTCACTGTGAAGCACGAGCGCCTCGGGCGATCTCGGGCGTAGCTGACGGGGAGCGACGGACACCTCTTGTGGGGTGGGCTTACATATCAGGTCCGTGAAGTTAAGGCACGACACTCTCGAGCTGCGTTGTCGCAGCATGAACCTTGCTGCCAGAGGAATTCTAGACGGAGGATTTCCCTCTTGCCCAAGCCGAAGCAACCCTTGAAGCATATACTGTAGTTTCCCCCGGGTTTTGGGACATTTTCCACCTAGGAATTGTTTAATGGGGGAACCGAACCCCTGAAAAGTGGTTGGTGGACATAACAATCCCCACCTAAATGACGTCCGTAACAAAAACAAGCATGCCAGCCCCAGGAATGAGGACCTGTCCTTTTGCGGCGGTGCTTACCTCAAGCTCTTGGGCAGTGACTTGGACCAGAAGTCCTTCAGTGCAGACACGCCCTACCAGATCATGCGCCTCGGCGGAGAAAGAAAAACGCGCCCCGGTGCGTGCGGTAGGGAAAAAAGCAACGAGTTCGGGTTCTGGACATGCATGTGGAGATTCCCCTAAAGGAAGCCGTTGGGAATAGTTTATAGGGGTCATTCCAGTTCTCATTCCCTGGCTAGCGAGCCAGCAAGTATACTCCACTGATATTCTACGCCGAACTTCTGGGAATCAAGCGTTTTCCCTTGAACCCACAACAAGTTGACTTTTTGCAGAGGTTGGTGGAAAGTGGGGGAACTTGGGGCGTCCTTCAAGAGAATTGGGGGGCGTTTCCCATGAGACATTCTCAGATGGAGATTCCCCCCACCGCTCCTTTACTGCCGAACAGCCGGCACAGAACCAGGGGCGACGATTCCATTGTGAGTCGATGCTCCTGCTCGCATTTTGATTTGGCTGGGTTGCAATTGAAATAAACCGGGCAAAGAGGATGTTTCTTGAAAGGTGTATGTTCAAGTGCGTCCCTCCTTCGTACTACTTACCGGCTTGTTCCTGTGGCCCTCTTTTTCAACTAACAATGGCGTTGCAAGGGCTGCATGGTTCGCGCGGGACATTGAGCACCGGTTTTTGATTCCCAGCTGAAACCTTGCTGAGGTTCGGCCCGGACATCTGCGGGGATGAGGTGTCAGTCATCCACCTGATTTTCGCCTGGAGAGGCCGGCAGCTTCAGCGATCTCCGGAGATCCCACTGGCCTTTGATGACCGAGATGCCTTCTCGCACATCTACAGCTTAGTCCTGAAGCCAGACAACACCTACAAGGTGTTGCTTGGCTCCATTGCCCCATTGAAGTGAGCACGCGTTCAACTAGCTACAGCGGATGTTTTTTGTTTTTTCCTTTGGCCAAAGTTGGTAGGTACACCAAGTACAGCGGATTTATTTCTTTTTCTCTCCCCCCCCTTCCCGGCCCAAGTTTGAGAGGTACCTGGACCTCAAGGAGAAGTCGTCAGGCGCTCTGCACGACTTTTGGGACTACCCCAAGATGACCATCGACGACCCCGGCGACTCGAAGCCTAAGGATTGGGTCGAGGCCCGGCGCGTCATCGACGACGAGAAGCACAAGCCGGAGGACGTCTGGTCTGGTCTCTGGGGTGTGTGTGTGTGTGTGCGTGTGTTTTTGTTGGGCGCGTGCCCGTTTCAAAGTCTTTTTTTCTGGAAAGCTAGCATTTTCCAAATCTTTTTTAGCGCGTACCCATTTTTTTTAGCGCGTACCCAACAGAAATGTCCGACACTTCAGCCAGGTTGCTGTAGGGGCGAGCCAGGAGAGGCGAACCCCCCTCCCCAAATCCATTCCTTTTTCAGCTGTCACTTCCCGTGCTTCCAGTGTTCCACATGTATGACGGCATTCCATTGAGGCAGGCTCCAAAAAGGTCGTGGCACGCGCCCGGAACAATGGGTTTGACAGCTCATGGGGACTGATAGCATGCGTGCTTTTGGATTCCTTTGAACCCCCCTCCCTCCGAGCGCGAGGCCCAAAGATCGCCGGCCCGATTTGTTTTCCTCAGTCCGGAGGACTGGGTGGAGCAGCCGCTGATCCCAGATCCTTTCGCCTGGAAACCGCTGGAGTGGGATGAGGAGGAGGATGGCGCCTTTATGCCGGCCATGGTGGAGAACCCGCAGCAACCCTGCTGCACTGTTGCAAGGGGTGGATGGGTGGGTGGGTGGGTGGGTGGGGGGGTGGGTGGGTGGGCGAGCGGGTGGGTGGGGGGTTGGAGAGTTTGGCAAGGGGTCTTGCAACTTGGAGCCCCCATTTGGCCAATCTCTGGGTTGGAATGCCACTTGATGTACATCGTTCGAATGAAAGGACCCCCCCCCCCCGAGCGTAGAAACCCTCTTCAAGAGGGTTTCCTTCACTCACGATCTTTCCAAATGGGAGTGTCTTTTCTCGAGGCTTGGTACTTCTTTTTTTTGGGTTTGGGTGGGGGGTCGCCTAAAACGACACCCAAATTGACGGCCGACAAATGCCAGGTACAAGGGCCCCTGGCACCCCAGCTGGGTGGACAATCCGGACTTCCGCGGTGCCTGGAGGCGCCCCGGGCCTGTGGAACTCATGGCGAAACCGGGCGTTCTGGCACTTGTCACATGAGTGTGGCTGCAAAGGATTTCATAGGTTGATATAGGCTGCCCCAGGCCTTCACTCTGAATCACAAGCTGGGGAGGGGTGTGATCTTTTTTTTTTTTCTGAGAGAAGCCTTTGGCGGTCCAACTCCTTTGGCTCCTGTTCCAACTCCTTTGGCACAGTTGCCGGGGTTTGATGATCCAGACACACACACCAAAAAAAAAAAAAAAAAGCACGTTTTTTTTTTTTTTTTTGAGAGGCCCCGGCAGCGCGGGAATCCGGAGTACGAAGAGGAGGTCTACTCCTACACCGACCTGGCCGGAGTCGGCTTTGAGCTTTGGAGACTTGGCAAACCGCTGGCTGTGACCGAAGCAAATTGGTACCCGGCCTGCCCCCGCGAACGGAGAAGTGCAGCAGGGAAGCCTAGTTTTAAAAAAATCCCTGTGCTTCACATGTTTCTACCTTTGACTCAGAGATGAGTTTGTTGTCAATGCTACCACTAGCTTCCACTACTGGTAGCCAGCAGCCAGCGTTCCACTTGCTGTTTACCCCCCGGGCAGACCTCAGCATAGGAGTAACTTTGTTTGTCAACGCCCAGTGCCTCCCATTGGCCCAGTGGGACATCCCGACGAGGAGTTCACAGGGAGGCTCAGTCTTGGACAACGTCTTGCTGTGCGACTCCTGGGACTTTGCCAAAACAGAAGCCCAACGGCTGCAGGAGCCTCGTTTCGCAGTGAACCGAGGCTCCAGGTGTCCTTTCCTTAGGGTGGTTTTTTTCATCGTCGTCTGGAGGGCATACGTGCCATGGAAAGACACCTTTGCTCAGGGTTAACAGGGGTGGTCGTCCACCGGGTAGTCAGGATCCTTGGTAACCATCAGAATGATTGCTATTCAGGGGCCATGGCCACAGGCCACATACGGCCGTTTCCTTTCCAGGGTGTTCAGAAGGGACGCCTTTTTGGTTTCCAATTCTTGGTGTAAGGCAAACAGCCCGCGTTGAAGACTTGGCTTGGATGTGACAGCGCCAGGACTTGTTGTAGCTGATCATTGCAGGGACATGTAGGGGCGCTGGGAAGTAGCAGGTGCTATTGAAGGATAGCGGGTCAGTCCAATCAGCTCCAACATCTGCCACCGTCTGCCACCTTTGACAAAATTAAGGCCATGAGATGCTGCTAATTCTGGGCTGCCTTTAGAGAAACAGACTTGATGTGTCAAAACTGGGCGCCCTTTGGTGGATTTGAATGCAGTTGAGCAAGCTCACTATCTAAACCATGAATGAGTGTCGGGAAGAACGATTCGATCCATTTTTTACGCAAGCACCAGGCCCATAACCCAGGTAATTTTCTTCAGGGCGAATACCAGATGATCTCATTTAGTACCTAGATCCCTTGTGATACTGCCGACAACCTCCGACCCTTGTGCGTCAGACTGAGGATTTCTCCAAATTGGTGGGCTCCCTGCTGCGTTCCTGCCCCGTTGCTTTTTGGGGGACCCAAGAGGGGACCTCTTTGACTCACTTGCCCTGGTTTTTCAGCCTTTTGGTTCATTCTTCGGCTCCAGAATCCTGGATGACCTGGCATTTCTGCGTCCATACTGTGGATGGACAAAATCCTGCACCACCCAGAAAACCAGAGGAATGATTCGATTCCCCTGCAAATACCTAACGTTATAGTTTCAACCATGGCTTCCTTGCGTGGTGCCTAAGAGGATGTCGCAACCCCCCCCAAACCCCCCACAGGCGGACAGGGGCCCTGGATCGCGCCATGTCAGGCTTACCCAGCCAGTGGACACACTTTACACTTTTTCCCTTGGTGGCTCTCCCTTTTTGCCAGTGGTGGCCCAAAAAGTGCACATTTTTTGCATGGTTGTTGTTGGGAAACACTTTACGTATTTTTGCTTGTTGTGGTTCAGTGGTGGAAATCCAACTCCACCTAACTGCCAATTTTTTTTTGAACTTTTGCTCCCCTAACCCAACGTCAGCCAAGTTTTGGGCTGGTCGCTGGCCAGGACATCTTCGCCAAAGAGGCGGCGGCCCGGCGCTCGGAGTCCAAGTCCAGCCCTGAGGCGCGGCTTCAGTCGGCTGACGACTGAGGGATGGGACGCGGAGGGGGTTGGGTCGGAGTTGAATCTGAGGGGTGCCACTCCATTCAGATTGCCTGACATCCGTTTTTGTTTTTTTTTGGGGAGGGAACTTTGCGGGGAAGACCAGTAAAACTGTAGTTTTTCACCTTTTTAGGGAAGACTAGGGGTGAGTGGGGACAAACTAAAGTGAGGAAGATCACTTGGGTAGCGCAAGTTGAAATGTTTTTTAGCATTTGTTTTGATGCTGAATTTGCAGCATGTAGCAGGATTGGTGCAGCTAGAGTAGCCAATCAGGCTATATCAGAATAAGGCTTGGATGTAGTCGCATTCTGGGTGCGTACCACAGTGACTATGAAGGTTCTGCAGGAGTCGCCAGCCTGGATGGCTGCATTTTTTATTGGGGTGGTCATTCAACCCCGCCTGTTTCAGCCTCACAGCCCAGATGCATGCCATGAACCAGTCAAGTCAAGATTGCAAACGCCCCAGCCGCTCATCCAACCGCCTCGCTTCCTGAGTATTGCATGTATGCACGTGCACACGCGCATGCTTGGGAGTTCATTGTCAGAGTTCATTGGTAGTCTTCAGCGGTACAAACCGCCACGGGACTAGGCCCACACCGACCCCTCATTGGTCACACCCGCTTTTCACCCCTGTACTTTTTCCCCCTTGTGCATCCGTTTGACCAAGATTGCCAAGCACTTTGTGCTGACTTTCGGGTCATCTACCTTGCCACCAACATGAAACGCATGAGGTCCTTTGAATACCGACATGGCCATGGGTCAAAAGCCAAATCGTACCCCCAGTGAACATCCCAATCCAACCACTTTAATAGGTTCTAATATGGGTGGTGAATTCCCCTGGTCACCAAAATGGGATCCCGGAACGATTTTGACAACCACAGCCACCTCCAGGAAAACCAAACAAGAAGGGCTCAACGCCGCGTGCCATTGGAGCAAATCCATTCACTTGTGACAACCACAGCCACATGGTCTCCCCCAAGAGCTCCAGTTAGGTCCCATGTTTGCGGCTAGGAAGGCTATCTCCAGCAGCTGCGGGAGGATCTCGGCTTCGCAGGCCGCGGCTTCCGTTTAGAAAAAGAAAGTGATGTGAACTGTCGGATAGTGTTGGGAGTGTTGTTGTGTTAAAGGTTGATGACAGACTATGTGTTTTTTTTTTTGTTTTTTGTTTTTTTAAAGAAGAACAACAACAACTTAATTTGTTGATTTTGCTTATTCGTTGTGATCAGAGGGGATTGGGTGGAACGCGCAGCACCAGTCTGCAGCACACAAGTTTGGTTGTTAGCTGTGCGCGGACCTTGAGTATTGCCAAGGAACTGCGAACTGCAGGGGCACGGATCTGAAGTGAGGTGTGCTTGTCAAGTCAAAGTCAAGGGAGACCGAAGGAAACCAATCTGCCACGCTTGTTTGAGTTGCCCACCCCCTGCGCATACAGAGGCGGACAAGTCCCAGTTTGTTCGACTCAGCGCCTTTGGCGAGAATGTTTGAAACGAGAGCGAGGATCCATTCTCAAGCCACAGTACCATTGGACTCCGACAGGCGAGGCCGTTGCAGTCCTGCCCTTTGGGGCACCAAGTAAGGAAATGCTGGCACCATTCCATCAGGCGGAAACCAACCGTTGCTTCGAACTTCATGAGAGTAGATGCACACATGAAAAGCCTCCCCCCGAGTTTGTGGAGGCTTTGACCTGTGACGTGTGTGACCAGCCCGAGGCCGGGGTCGAAATCAGAAGACGGGCGGCAGGGTTCGTTTTAGTTTGCAGCAGGCTGCCAAGGCGTGGCCCGTTTTCTCTCGGGGGATCCCTTTTGACAAAGCCCTTGGTGATTCCCTTCTGGGAGCCACGGGGTTGGACATCATTTGACGGGCGATGTTCAATGTTGACATCCTTTAGTCAGAACATGGGGGGGGGCTAACTTCTTTTCCTCTGTTTTCCCACGGGCCGTAGCCCACATGAGCACATGGATCCGGTTGCTCGGGCTTTGGCGCCAGGTGGCGGTCACTGCAAACGACCCCAAGGACTCGCCCGGAACTTCGGTCTGGCGGGAAAAAGTGGCGGCGCGGGTCGGATGTCGGCGCTTTGGGCGCTGGGCTATGAGATGGCTGCAGTTGACTTGGACGCTTACCTCTTAAAACCACGAAACGTTTCTCAACTTTTTGGGTAACATGGGCTATATGTCTGTAAAAGATGAACACTTCCCCAGGGCGCAGGGAGTTTTAAGGGGTATGTATAGGAAACAGGCACGACCGACAACTCTGTTGGCCAATTAGCGCCGGCTTTGTCAGAGCGTCCTGGGCCAATAGTGCTGCTTATTTGGGACCTGCGCGATAGCACTGGGGGAGAGAGAGAGAGCGAGAGAGAGAGAGAGAGAGAAGGAACTTTGGCAAACTACCAAGATACAGGATCCCCATGTTTGAGGACTAGACCACCGGACTCGCGCCGTGAGCCAGTATAGACCTGGGCGTCCCAGGTCTGAAGGTGGTAGCATTTGAGCGGGCCAAGCAAAGGTTGCTCAGACCGAAATCAATGTTGCTTCCATTCGTTTAGCCCTTGCGACCAACTTAACAAGCATAGGACACGTTTCCTTTTGATCAGGCCGGCCGTTTCCAGCCACTTAGGCTTTGGCTAGAGGAAGGCTCCGAAAGGAAGTGAGGGGACGGCCTGTTTTGCTCAGCGGTACTTTGGGAGGCCGCACAAGGCCAGTCTCCGGTGGAGGTTGGCTTTCTATCCCTGTGCTAAATCCACCGTGCTCAAGACTAGGGCGTGATCGTGAGCACATCCCCACCCTTCAGACTGGAATTGGGGGAGGGGGGATTTCGACCCCTGGAACTCCATTTAGGGCGAGCCATTTTCCCTTTCGTGCGGAATGGTGGGACCCGGGTCCCACCCGGGTCCCTCCCCCTTAAGGTAGGGGGGATGTGAGCACGAATGCCCAGGTCAGCAGCGAATGGCCCGCGAGCGGGAGGAGAAGAAAGCGGCAGATGCCCGGGTCCTGGGGTCCTGGCAGAGGGGGTTCTTCCAACCAGAATTAGCCCCCCTTTTTGTTTTTAATACTTGTTTTTGGGGTTTTTGTTCTTCTCCTTTTTTTGTTAACAAAAAATGGGTTCCCCTTTGTTTTCCACTAGCCAGGCAAAACATATAATATAAATATATATATATATACATATATATTTTGGCTGGGGTCCTAATTCCTGCCTAGGGTTGTGGTTGTCGACTGGCTGGGTCTTGTTAACGTTGTTTGGATGTTGGTTGTTCGGCGCTTTCTTGAATTGTTGTTTCTTCCGCTTTGCTTTTTCGGGTGTGCTTGGGGTGTTGCTTCCGGTATTGCTGCTGGGTTTGCTGGGCGGATGCTGGGCTCGTCCGCCTTCAGGCGACCAAGAGCAGCCACCAAATTCAGGATTCTGCTTGACAGGAAGGTGCCTTCAATTTCAAGCTATGGTGCCAGCAGCATTTGTGGGGCTCACGCACCTTGTTCTGTCTTATTGTTTCCATTTTGGAGAAGACCCTTGTCCCCCTATAAATGAGTGTGCCAGAGGCCCATGCAATCAGCCATCATAAAAGCATCGTCATTTTTTTCCGGGTGGGTGGGGCTGAATTCCTGGTTGGACTGCCCCCTGCAAACCATCCCCTACTACGACTACGGTTTCCTTTGAGCGAGCCCCCATACGGTTCATTCCCAACACCCGGAACGGTCATTCCCTACCAATCGCACCAGCAAGTTTGGCAGTGGAAACCATCTTCCCCAGAGTCAGCTCCCCTTTTGAATTTGTTGCTTTTTTGGGGTCCCTTTTGTTTTCCACTCACCAGGCAAAAAGATAATTTTTAGATGGGGTCCTAATTCCAGCCAAGGTTTGGGAGCAGTGGAAACCATTTGCGGGTCGCTTTCCTTCGCCCGGGATGTTGCAACGCCCTGGTTCCCTGACGCCCAGGAAGCCAGGCGTCGTGAGGACGAGGAACGCCTTTGGCCTCAGTCGGGCGACTTTTCGACGGGGTTCCACATGCAGGAACGGTCGTGTGTTGCTGGTCCTTTCCATGTTCCTTTGCGGGTAAACGTGTATTGACGTCTTACGTCTTAAGGTAGACATGGGTACTGGACATGACTAGATTAGGCCGGGCATTGACCAAGTTTGTGGCGGAGACTGGAGAACATGGGCTTGGGGCCCTTGGCACTGGGTCGAATCAAAGAGTCATCCTCACAGTTGCCCCCTGAAACGGCTCACCGGGAGAACAACAAAAACAAAACACCCTTCTTGGCTTCAATGTGATTAATACAAAGTGAACCCCTTCCTTGTCTACCAAGGTTAACCCCCCAATCGCCCTCATGCGGTTCACAGGGAAAACAAACGAGACACAACCATAAAAAAAGGGGGACACAAAAACACCCCTCAACTAAAATGGCGAATCCTCCCAAAGGTTCACTTTGTGGACCCCGGCCCGGCGCCACGGTGCTCTGGGGGCGATGCCGGCGGGCGATACACCCCCCGAGGTCGCGCCCGTGCAGAGGAGAAGCGGCTGGAGAGGGCGCGGCGGCCTGGATCGGGATTGATGCACGAGGTAAGGAGGAAATGGGACTTGGACGCGTACCTCTTAAAAACACGAAACTTTTCTCGACTTTTTGGGGTAACCTGGGCTACTTTGTCTGTAAAAAGATGAGAACTTCCCCAGGGCGCAGGGAGTTTTAAGGGGTAAGTGGCTCAAGAAAACCGGAATTCCAAGATGGCTTGCCCTGTTAAGTGGAAACGTGGGTACCAAAACCTGCGGTTTGCCCCTCCGATCGGTTAATTGTGAGCCACACCCAAATGGGAAAATCTTAGCATTTCTAGGTTCCCCAGCTAGGTGCCCTTCTACCCTTCTAGCCTTCTACCCTTCTACCCTTCTACCCTTCTAGGAGGAAATGGGACTTGCTGGAAAGGACAGTGGCCCACGGCGCCAGGAAGTCAGGGCAGCAAGCAAGCAAATGAGATAAGGATCTTCTCATTTTACTGGTTGATCATCATTTCTAGGTTTTTCCCAGCTAGGTGCCCTTCTACCCTTCTAGCCTTCTACCCTTCTACCCTTCTACCCTTCTACCCTTCTACCCTTCTACCCTTCTACCCTTCTACCCTTCTACCCTTCTACCCTTCTACCCTTCTAGGAGGAAATGGGACTTGCTGGAAAGGACAGTGGCCCACGGCGCCAGGAAGTCAGGGCAGCAAGCAAGCAAATGAGATAAGGATCTTCTCATTTTACTGGTTGATCATCATTTCTAGGTTTTTCCCAGCTAGGTGCCCTTCTACCCTTCTACCCTTCTACCCTTCTACCCTTCTACCCTTCTACCCTTCTAGGAGGAAATGGGACTTGCTGGAAAGGACAGTGGCCCACGGCGCCAGGAAGTCAGGGCAGCAAGCAAGCAAATGAGATGAGGATCTTCTCATTTTACTGGTTGATCATCATTTCTAGGTTTTTCTCAGCTAGGTGCCCTTTTACCCTTCTACCCTTCTACCCTTCTACCCTTCTAGGAGGAAATGGGACTTGCTGGAAAGGACAGTGGCCCACGGCGCCAGGAAGTCAGGGCAGCAAGCAAGCAAACGAGATGAGGATCTTCTCATTTTACTGGTTGATCAGCATTTCTAGGTTTTTCCCAGCTAGGTGCCCTTCTACCCTTCTACCCTTCTACCCTTCTACCCTTCTACCCTTCTACCCTTCTACCCTTCTACCCTTCTACCCTTGTACCCTTCTAGGAGGAACTGGGACTTGCTGGAAAGGACAGTGGCCCACGGCGCCAGGAAGTCAGGGCAGCAAGCAAGCAAATGAGATGAGGATCTTCTCATTTTACTGGTTGATCATCATTTCTAGGTTTTTCCCAGCTAGGTGCCCTTTTACCCTTCTACCCTTCTACCCTGCTACCCTTCTACCCTTCTACCCTTCTAGGAGGAAATGGGACTTGCTGGAAAGGACAGTGGCCCACGGCGCCAGGAAGGCAGGGCAGCAAGCAAACAAATGAGATGAGGATCTTCTCATTTTACTGGTTGATCATCATTTCTAGGTTTTTCCCAGCTAGGTGCCCTTTTACCCTTCTACCCTGCTACCCTTCTACCCTTCTACCCTTCTAGGAGGAAATGGGACTTGCCGGAAAGGACAGTGGCCCACGGCTCCAGGAAGTCAGGGCAGCAAGCAAGCAAATGAGATGAGGATCTTCTCATTTTACTGGTTGATCATCATTTCTAGGTTTTTCCCAGCTAGGTGCCCTTTTACCCTTCTACCCTGCTACCCTTCTACCCTTCTACCCTTCTAGGAGGAAATGGGACTTGCCGGAAAGGACAGTGGCCCACGGCTCCAGGAAGTCAGGGCAGCAAGCAAGCAAATGAGATGAGGATCTTCTCATTTTACTGGTTGATCATCATTTCTAGGTTTTTCCCAGCTATGTGCCCTTTTACCCTTCTACCCTTCTACCCTGCTACCCTTCTACCCTTCTACCCTTCTAGGAGGAAATGGGACTTGCTGGAAAGGACAGTGGCCCACGGCGCCAGGAAGTCAGGGCAGCAAGCAAGCAAATGAGATGAGGATCTTCTCATTTTACTGGTTGATCATCATTTCTAGGTTTTTCCCTGCTATGTGCCCTTTTACCCTTCTACCCTTCTACCCTGCTACCCTTCTACCCTTCTACCCTTCTAGGAGGAAATGGGACTTGCTGGAAAGGACAGTGGCCCACGGCGCCAGGAAGTCAGGGCAGCAAGCAAGCAAATGAGATGAGGATCTTCTCATTTTACTGGTTGATCATCATTTCTAGGTTTTCCCAGCTAGGTGCCCTTTTACCCTTTTTTCGGGGAGGGTTCCCCTACTAAAATAGACTACAGAAAGAAAGGGTGTACCCTTATTCTAGCCTCCCTACTGGAGGACCTAGATTTGCTTCACGGTGTTTCCCCATTTGCCGAATCTTTCATTCCGGCATGTCAAATCGGCGTTGCCCCATAAGTTCTTGCATTTGCATTTCCGAAGACAAAGATCATCTTCTTCCGGCGCATTCTTTTCAGGGGCACAGAGAAACCT